TTTTTTTATTAAACTATCAATATTATTATTAATAGTGTCCTTATTTATTTTGCTTCCCCATTGTTGTAATAGATAACATCCATGCCTTCTCATCTAATTGACTCATTTGCTAGAGTGGGAGGAATGAAGACCAGAAGGCCGGTGTCCAGCTTTTCCTCATCTCAAGGAGCTGACTTTAGACAAAGTGTCTGAAGCTAAGAGGAAGCTTGCCTTCTCATCTTACTTGCTTGAAAGACTTAGCTTGTCGTTCGGGTGTGGGGTTCTACATCATGAAAGGGCCACTACTACTCGTAACATGGACTACTTATCTCTTGAAGAATTAGAAATATATGATGGATGCCCAGGTCTGTTCTCGTTACTAGAGACAAAGCTCCTGTTCATGTTCCTATTTGATACGATGCCATTTCCAATACAAAAACTTTTCAGGTAGGTTAAGAAACTTTTTAGCGTATCAACTAGTCTCTTTCATATCTATTTTCTTGTACATACTTGTTGGTTGGAAATTAGTTTTCAGAAGCTACACAAGTTGGGGTTAACTAGAGAAATTAGTTTCTTCATATTCTAAGATGAATCTAACGATCCAATTCTTAATGTCTTGAACTTAGGAGTATCCTGTTGGGCTGAGATATGCATGAAAATGGAAAGCAATCGAGTTGAAATCGAAAAAGAAAAAAGTTTGGGTTTTGATATTTGAAAGTAGGCACCTTTATATTCTTAGCACTAGACCGTTGCTCCGAACCACCCCACAAACAACCCCCAAAAAATGAAAAAACCAATCTCGTAGTTACCATAATAATATGCCATTCATCTGAAATTTGAGAATTCACACGGTCCCTTGAACTCACTTCTCTTCAACAGATACATATTTATGGCTGTCTGAGTCTCCAATTCCTGCCACAAGACTTTCTTTTCTGAGCATCTCCAGTTGTTCTGCCCTGGAGTAAAGGTATGAGAATAATAGGGGAGAAGATTGGGCTAAGATATCTCACATTCCTTGCATCTTCATAGGGCAAGAAGTGATCATATGATATGAGCTCGTTATCGAACAAAGTTTTTGCTTTTCGACATTTCACTCTCAAGTCAAAGTCAGGCACATAGCATCAAGTAGGTCCCTTGTCATTATTCCATGTTTATCTTGTCTAATAAATGGATTATCATTTGTTAGATTTATTTTTATGAGCTGCAATAATTAGATTTAATTAAAGGCAGTAGAATTAATTTCTCCTTTGGATTTAGGAGCATCTTGTTGAGCTGAGGTATGCACGGGAAGTGAAGGCACTCAAGTAAACATCCATATTAAAAAGCTATTAGAGGAAGCAGGCTTTTCAAAATTTGATCTGTAACAGAGTGGGAGAAAACAAATGACGGTAAGGCTTGTCTGTGTTCTTTCTCTG